GTGTGTGTGTGTGTGTGTGTGAGGCTCCACCTGCAGCCTCCACCTATCGTCTCCGCTCAGTGTCTCTCAGCGATGCGGGGAACACACCGTGTGTGCAGGTTGTGTTTCAGCAGCTGTGTGCAGACAGAGACAACATGGAGATGGTGTGTCAGGTGCAGAAGAATGACATGTTCTCCAACATGCTGCCTCCTGCTCCTCCTCCTCCTCCTCCTCCTCCTCCTCCTCCTCCTCCTCCTCCTCCTCCTCCTCACTGGAGAGCAGTGACTGCCGTCCGTCCCTAGGTGGCAGCAAATACGCTGATTTCAGTCACTGCGCTGTGGGACTGAATCATCCTCATCCACTGTATCATCCCACACACACACACACACACACACACACACACACACACACACACACATACACACACACACACACACACATACACACACACCAGTCACATCAGTTACGTGTGACATCTGTTTTATAGAAGAATATATATCTTCTGTTGTTTTATTTCATTTCTTCTTATTGTTTGTATTGTTGATGTTGTTGTTGTTATTATTGTTATTATTAGGTATGTCATCATTATTTTTATTCCCCTTACTGCTCGTAAAAAATGTGTTCATACATTTTTAAGATTTTTTATAATCAGTCAAAGCATGGGTTTATAGTCCTTTTTTAGATGGATGATGGATGGATGTATGGATAGATAGATAGATAGATAGATAGATAGATAGATAGATAGATAGATAGATAGATAGATAGATTGCGAGGGTCTTTTGAGTGTCACTCAAAATACAACAAAGTAAAATAAAGAGTTGCTATGTTACTGATGCCTAAACGTTACTACAGCAACCCATGTAGATTGGTTGTCTGGACACACAAATCCAATCTGATCACTTGCAAATATCTGTGGAGACAGTCAGTCAGAGATCTGCTTAGAGAAACAAATCAGTCTTGCCTTATCTGAACAAAATGGAGACTGTGTGGCTGATCCTCACAACTTTTTTGTTGAAAAGTTCTACTTTTTCTCTTGAATAACACAACAACTCTTTATTCTTTATGGGTTTGAAATTTAAATACTGTCTGCTGCTATACTCAAAATGCTAAGCACCAAAACTTATCTGAAAACAGGTCATCAATTAAAAATTCACTGAGCTGTGATCTTCTTAATGCAAGCTACTTGTACTTTATCTGATTTCCATCTACACCCCTCCGTGATACTGACACTTGCTGTAGGAGCAATCTCTATACATTAGACTGATACTTTATTCATGTGTGAGCTTGTGATTACATTTATTTAAAGAATAACTACCATCTGAAACCCATTGCAGACCTATTTCTGTTACTCATCCTTTCTCATTGACAGTAAAGAAACATGTCAAACGGGGTGGCCCACCCTGCCCTGTTATTAAACATGACTTTTACCATTAGCCAGAGGAACCTTGGAAAGGAGTGCACACCCAGGAAGAGCCACATGTCAGGGAGAAGAGGCGATATGAGACTGAAGAAAAAGTGGTTGCGAAAATAAGCGCCTGTATTTCTGTACATGGCCACACCCCACAGAGGAGGACAGCATAATTACACCAGTGCAGGACCGTGTAAACCACATGAAGGGCGACAGAGGGGGCCGCTGCTACTAAATCTGACTGGCATGGAAGTAAAGACTAGAGGAGGTGGTTGGGAGGAGCAGGGAAAGGTTTCTGTTAGAAGACTCCCTGTCATGGAGGAACAGGCGTACAGATGTGTGAATGAATGACACTAAAAACTTAAGTAACAAGTCAGACTGAACAAATCAAAACACTGATCTTCAAAACCTAGATCACTGAAAGGTACAGTAGAGTCACATAGTTTGCAGCCTTGAGAGGGCTCTTGCAAGAAAAAGTTTCTTGCAGGATTACAGGAAACCATTGTGGAAAGGCACGAGTTAAAAGGTTAAAATGGTTGTATAGGAGTTCCTGGAAGTTCTCACTCTGGGCATTTCACCAAACAAATTGAATGTATAACTAAGGAAATTACTAACATAAGGGAACGCAGTGAGAGAGCAGATCAGGACAGAAGGAACCCAAACCCTCTGTGTTTTTTAAAGTTAATTATTTTTTATATTAATACATACACTGGCTCGGATCAATCATTTTATCCCATGCCACACTATATTATTTGTTTCGCTAAGAAAATATTCTTCACTTAGGGTTTTCATCTGTCAAGGCACCATTCATAAAGTATTTATAATCTGTGGGGCAATGCTTTATGTCCATAAGGACATTGAAAAATCTACCTCCATGATACCTTTGTATTTAGGTGGCTATGTAATTAATTAAAGAGAACTCTTCAGCCAACTGTTTGACTACTGAGGTTCTGCTCAAGGGCTGCAGGATATCTAAATTATCCACAGCTTCATATTAAATATTATGCTTTATATTACAACTGCAGACTTGATGGGTTGTTGTAGAACCCTTAACCATAACCATTTGCTTACATTATAAGTGAATGACCAGTTTTTGCTGATTGCTATTTACCATCTGACAAATTTTAATGACTTTATAGCAAGCAGTGTGTCCTTAAAGCATTTGAGTGCTAGCAATGTGTCATGCTGGAGGATAATTATCCACAACGTGGGAAATCTAAAGGTTGTTGTCATAAATGACTTGATTACAGCGTGTATATCATTTATAAATTATTTCTCATTGAAAGTGGCAAGAAAACATCCTTTATTAACCAGTGTCACGAAAACAAACCAGAGACTAGCTTATTAAAACTATAAGCACCGTGGTTGGAAAGCAATAGTTTGCCCTGTGGTGGTTGGCTGCAGGGGTTTCATTGCAACATCCCAGTTTGCTCAAAGATCTGGGGAACCACGGACAAGCCCTGCACCAGATCATAAAAGAAACATCTCAGACTGCAGAACACTGCAGCCAATGGCTCTGGATCAGGAGGAAAGATCCCAACTGGGCCCAAAAATGGAAGGGCCATGCACCCAAGTCTGATCAATCTGTGGAGGGCCTGCCTTAGGAGAGGGTGTATTGTGTCTAAGGTACACAACTGAAGACATGTCCCTTACATCCACTAACATCGACTGGTGGAAGGCATTCATTAGTGTGGCAGAACGTAAACAGGATATTCTCCATCTTGTCCTATGTTCTAAAATGGAACAGTGTTTAGCTTAAAACAGCAGAGAGGTAATAATGTCTGATCTTTCATAGTGCTGCCATATAGAAGCCAGCGGCCAATCAGATTTACTTTTAGCCTCAGCGTACCCTCATGTTCGGCCTGTGTCGGCCTAGATGCACTGAGGTCATGGCCCTAACATCTGCTGGCAGCTGCTAACACCTGCTAATATACTGTTGGTTGGTAACTTCAATGTAGCAGAAGACCTTCAAATGTACAAGGGACAAGTATAAATAGTATAATTCAGACTCTAGTTTGTATTTGTCACAGTGAATGATAATAAATACATATGATATATTTATGTATATGAATATAAAACATACTTTGGCTTAACATATTTAAATATATTGATATAAATATGAACATACTGTTCTATTGGCATTTATATATGTGTACATATTGATATCAACGTGAATATACTACACTTTTGACACTATTATCATCACTATGCATCTAATACAACTTCACCAACTTCCTGACGCCAGGGCCTGGAGAATACTCGTCTCTGATTGGATGACAGAGCATATTTCTGCAAGCCTTAAATCAGTGGTGGCCATAGCAACACTCTCTTCAGGAGCTCTGGAAAGGTTAGCCTCCAACTTCTACGTTTGCGCTAACGATAGCTTCTGTTAGCTGTTAGCTGACACTACCCGTCTGTGTAGCAGACACGTGTGAGGGGTTCGTGTCCAGGCCAGAGACTGTATACAGTGTGTGGAGCCCCTCCCCTCAGGAGGTGATGCAGCTCAGGGAGAAGGAGCCTCAGCCCGGACAGAGGAGCCCTGACGCTGCGGAGCTAGCTGGGGTCACTGTCTGGAGGAAACACGACAGTGGACGGTTCTCAGATCAGGACACTCGTCGTCCCCCTTGGGATTTTTCACGGTGTGGATGAAGACGAGCGGACAGAGTTTGTCTCCACCAGACATTTAACATGCATCGAATAACGGGAAGAGCAGGAGGAGACAATCTGATTGAAATGAGTCCCACGGAGTCTTTCAACGGTGAGTGGCTGAATCCTCAAACTTTAAAGTGTGTGTGTGAAATATAATACAAACACGTGTTCTATAGAAGAAGCTGGGGAAATAGTGGTAATTCAATTAAGACTATATCGAGCTTGGTTTTACCACAAAACTTGAATATTTAATAAATATCTCACTAAAACTACAATTATTATTCTCTAGGAATATTCTACAAACACAACACATGAAGTGAGGCATCCCAACAACAACAACAAATAATAACAGCATCATTCAGTCAACAGCTAAGATAAATAGGGCATTAGAAATCACAACTTCACCATCACACTTGGATTTTAATATTCATTTACTTTGAAACATGTATTTTTCCTCTGAAACACCCACGTCTTCCTTTCCGTGGAGGGCCGCAGTGACTTATGTCCAGACAGCCCTCTGACAGCTGGCCTGCTCTCTGGAAACACTCTGTCACTGCAGGCAGCTATTACATCCACCAGCACAAACCCCATGCCCCTCTGCCTCTCCCTCTGCTCCTGGCTGAATTTGAATTTCAAACAACTGCTTAGACGCAGGGTAGAGTTTTTTAGCCATGTATGGTGTTCTGCTGAATGGAGGGTGAATCATCCTGGATGCTCTGCAGTGACTCTTATCATGGTGAGTCGATATAAAAGTGTAGGGTTTCATCTGCAGCTTGGAGAGAACTGCATTCTAGAAGTCTAGCTGAGACTGATGTGTGAGTGATCATTATAGGATCAGGAAGTGTAGTTACCCTTGCCTTGGTGTTGTGTGTTTTTGTTGAGGTAACAGTGGAAGCATAGTTCTTCCATTCATCACCCTGCACTCACAGTTCCACAACACTGAATCACACTAATACTCCGAATCCCAACTATTTTAGTTTAGAGGTCTACTGATGCAGACTGCTGTATGAAAACAGCCTCTTTCTAGCTTCCATGACTGATTAGAACTATGCAGTATTCCTATTGTAGGAGTAATACTATTCAGTCTAGTACCAGCTAACATGTGAATTTATATACTCAAAATGTCCTTCTCTTGTATATATGTTTAGAGCCCTAATATTTCCAGACACATTCAGAAAATATAATCTGAGACTAAAGTCAGAACATCTCAAGCTCAAGATCTCATAATCTTTTCTCTCTTCTTCGTTTAGTTAAAACTTTTACAGGTTGGTTTGACCACACACATTCAGACCAGCATGGTTCATTACTTGATGCATCACCTCTCAGCCTTATCGAAAATATACAATCTATATCAGACATGTCTTAATATGTGAACCAGTCTGTGAAAGCAGGTGTAAATTGTCGTGGCAATTCTACAATCCCACTCTGATAACGAGGAACGAGACAAATCTCTTACAGTATTGTCACACTTTAATGCTCAGAGCATGGTACACAAGACAAAGGTCTCTGTTATCTCTGTTTTTGTTAAGATTAAGATTCCTTTATTATCCCACAAATCATGCAACACACAGCACACAACTACATGCAACATGGGGGACATTTAGTCTCTGCCTTTAACCCATCCTGTGTGAGCAGTGACCACACGGAGCAGCGGTACTTGATGGTTCAGTATAGCTGAACTGTAAAATAACCTACTTTGTGTAAATAAAAGATGTATGTGAGGTTTACTCTCTTGTGTCTGTTGGGTTGCTGTGGGAATCAAAAAAAAAGAGACTGCAGCCGCCTTGTGGCATTTTCCACTGTGATCAGCTGCTCTCTCTGGAACAATGCCCTAACTGTGGAGGCTACTTTGTTAAGTGGGAAAAGACTCCTGGCATAGACAAGTGGCTAATACTGAGTTATCAACAACACTGAGTCCAACTGTGCAAAAATATGCTCAACTGTTAGAGGCTTCACATATGTTTCGAAAGAAATGTTGCAGGAACAAATCAGAGCAGCGAATAACAACGTCAGTCTCACAGCTGATTTTTAAGGAAGATGAAAGAAGAAGTTGTCTTTATCATCGCTGCTAAAATGCTGTAAAAGTCTAGGGTAGAGGGGGGGGTGTATGTTTCAGTTCATGTCAAAATCTGCTTTTAACCGTACTGTGTTAAACTGACTGTCAATCAATCAACAGTTTCTTCTAAAGTTTCATGTCCTGCCACAACTAAAAAAATGTTGTTAAAGTTAAGCATGCAGTAATCCTTTCCCATAGTAATCCTTAAAACAAATAGCAAAACCTCTTCTCTACAAATGGACCAACAATCTACCAACATGTAATATACATAAATCATCTGATATGTCGACAGGATTGGAATCTGGCCCCCAAAATGTTACATTTAAAAAGTGAGACATTCTCAAGAGTACTGTAAGTAAAGTTTAAGTTTAAGCTTTGAACAAGTTTTACTTTGTTGACTTGTTCTGTAATAACATAGAGACAGAAAAGGTTTACATATCACAAGGTTTAAATGCTTGTTTCAGGTCTGGTTAAGCACATTCTCTGTGTTGAGTCCAAACTAAATATAACCTCAACGAGACCATCAATTTGGACTGCTGTATTTCTATTTAAAAACACACTCAGGCTTTAACCAGCCTTTGCTTTATTTTTTTAGAGGCAGTGTTGCCAGCAGCATGTGATTGTATTGCTATTTCATCTGCTTCTTACATTTGTTTATGCAAATCTTTTTTTCTCAGAATCTTCCCTGGAAGGTAATAATTGATTTGGACTGAGGCAAATGTAGAACTTTATTGTGTTTGAATCCAAGCTTTATCACAGTGGCAGCTTTCACTTTCAAGAACACTGAGGGAGCTTACCAGACTCCTCAGTCTCACTCCCTGCTGTCAGTGCAGTGCACTGCAACATGGCTGTGTGTATTCTCTCACAGAGATCTTGTAAAGTCATGCTGTCTGGGCTGTGGCAGCACTGCCACAAAATGCTGTACAAATATAGACCACAACATTGGCTGTCAGTGCTCCTCACAAAACTCAGGCAGCTGCTCATAGGCCTGAAACCTACGTCGCACCAACTTGCCTGTTTTGAGATTCACTAGGCTTTTTGTTATTCTTATTTTAGAGAGTTGAGAGAATGTTCTTATAATTAACATTGGTAATACGATTTTAAATGTTCTGTTTTGTGTGTTACTGTCTTGCAGATGATATAAATGGCTACAACCAACATGCCTCATCCAGCACAGGATCTCTTCAGCAGGGACAATCAGTGGTAAACAACAAATTCACCACATTCATTCAGCACCTTCATACACACAGTTCTCTGAAGCACCATCATCTGCGTCATCATCTGAGAGGGTTTCATAACATCCTCAGAATTCAACATAAATCAGCCATTTGAATATGTTATGACAAGTCCTTCCTATACTGTATGTTAATTTTAGCTTTCCAATATGGATGAACAAAAGATTTCTCTTTGGCTCTGTTGTATCTTCACTTCCACCCTACCTCCTGTAAGCACAGTAGCAGGAAGTTCATTGTTTCCAAGTAAAAAGATTTTCTTCTCCCCTCTTGAGAGTTGAATAATCATGCTGATTTTCTTTTTGTGAACCCACCCACTAAAATAAGACACGTTAGCATATTGATCTTAGTGTAATTTCACAATCAATTGTCTCCTTTTTGAGATTACCTCTGTTTTGTCTTTCCAGATAATGCTTTACAGCACAAACATACATACGTATAAATATCACTTCCCTTCTTTGGATTACAAGACACCCCTAATTTATAAGCTCACACATCTGTAAATGTGGCGAGAGAATCAGAGATAACCCTGATGCTCCTGTTTGTTTTCCCTCTTTGGCACTCTTAAAGTCTTTTTTAACGCCTGAAGTGTGTGTAGAGACCTGTGAGTCTCTCAGCACCAGCCTGGCCTCCCTGGCCCCCTCTGACCACAGCGACAGTCCACAGTTTGAGGCTCAGACCTTAGAGCGAATCAATGCTTTGACCGGGGTAAGAAGCCAGTCAAGGTCACAGATGCATGCTGCTGCTGTGTCGGTTTGTGTGTTTGTGTTAATCTCTGAGCTCAAAACTGTAGCTGAGCAAGACCTGATTGTGACGTTTTTTTCTTTTCAGAGTGTGAAGTGTTTGAGTGTAATCTGTAAGGATGTCAAAATGCAAGTGTGGTGTGTCTGACATTTTGATCCCCCTGTGTGAGGGTGCTGCTTCGGTTTTAGCTGTATGCTGTTGACATTGTTGTGTTGTTAGGCTTTCGCTCATTCTCCACTCGGTTTTTCCACAGCTCTCGAGAAAGCGGGCTCTATTCCTGAAGTTTCGTTCCAGGGTATGGCATGGTAAAACAGGCTTGTGATGTGATGCAACTCTGTGCATATGTCTGCCTGCCTGCCTCTATCTCCTTTTTGGAGTATGTCTATTCAGTGTTGTGTTTCTCCAGCAGGATATAGAAAACAAAGCTCGGACATAAGAGTTGAAATCAACACACATATCTTGGTAGAGAGCTGATACTGGTGGCTACTGGGAAGCATGTTGTTTTCTGCAGAGAGTAATGGAAACATATTCGCATGAGCTATATGTTGATGCATCATGAGAGTTCATTAAAAGTGGAAAAGGCCTTTTCACCTGCTCTGATCTCACCTGCGATAATCGTCTGCTTCACTGAAGAGAAAGCAACAGCCTGGTTACAGTGTTATTAGAACACATGTACACACACAAACATGCACATGCACCATATACTGTATTTGTAGTATTGCACTTTTTCTGTGTGCATTTATAATTTATAATCTGAAATATTTCAAATCCACTGGCCAGGTCTTCACATTAACCACAGGTGGATTTGATCTTGCCTGCAGCATTTTGGATCTGCTCGGCCCAGTATACTTCACACATTTTTAAAAAGTAAGAGCTAAAAGATGCCGAGTGGTAGGTCGTCTCAATTTAAAGATAAGCTCCTAAAACATTGAAAATTGGCTCATAATTGTCTAGGACGCTCAAATAATAACCATTTAAAAAAAACATTTGCCAAATAATATTTCTAAAAACAATATCTGCATTTATGCACACACATGCATACGTGTACACAGTAAAAAGTCTATACTGTAATCATGACCCAGCCCTGAGCTCATGACAGGACTGAACTTCTCTTTGGCAAACCACATACTGTACTGCAGCCTTCTCCTTTTTCATCTATAATGTGGTCTTGCTTTAACGGTGCGTAACCCATTTTAAAGAAAAGAGGAATCATTACCGTTTTTTAAATAGCTAATCTTTGAAATCCTGCAACCAGCTCCACAAGAAATGTGTCTCCCTCAATGTAAAGCTACGCCTTAGCTCAGTGAAAGATCCCTTCAAGGAGTTTTGGAGGAGAGACAGCTGCATGTCTATAAGTTGTCTCTGTGATCAAGCTGACTGTTTTGTCCTCCTCCCAAAAGACATGGGAGTGTACGTCTTCATTGTCCTTACAGAACACAAACTTTCAGCTGCATGTAGCTCAATAATATGTATTTAAGTTTGCTGACCAGGTATTATTTTCTGCAAAGCTCAGGATAGGAATTCCTTTTTAGCTTCGCAGAAAAACACTTCTCTCTGTTTAGTGCGATCTTGGGGATTGCAATGAGTCAATAAAGACATAATGGAGGAATGTGGTAGATTGACCATTTTAATATTTTTGCTGTTGCTGACCAATATAGTACAAACATTAAACAGAGATTCATGCAACCTTTTGATTTTGTATTAGGATGCATTTGAGACTAAAGGATCAGAATTAGAATCATAAAAATGAAACTTGACAGTTGAGTTGTCTTAGAAGAAAACATATTAAAGTCATATATTACCAGTTTAATGAAAATTATGTTTAAAGTCTTCACCCCCCCCCTGCCTTTGACAGCCACCTTATGTTACACCATGCATGTTCTACATTTACCCTCCTTAGTTAAGACAGAACGTACATGTCTGAACCATGGTCTGAACACCCAGTAGTTGTGGGTTAGTTGGTAAATGTACAGAGCTCTGTGGTCTCTACCAGCTGCAGAGGCAGGTCCCAGCAGATGCACTGATTCCATATGGCTGATCTGTAATTAAGGCAAATTAGAGAGTTTCTGCAGCAGCGTCCCAGTTAGAGAAAGAAGCCAATCTGCCATTTTCAACATGGTCCAATCATGACTGAGGGGTAATGCAGACCAGTCATCAGGACACAAGCATAATTTGGGGCAATCTGAACATGTGGACATAATTTCTTGTTTGAGTTAGTACAGTAGAGGGCAGGGTGCAGATCCAGCTTAACTGCTGCTGCTGCTCATTTGTGTAATGTGGCTCAGACTATTTACATACATTTTCCAATGATAGTGCCACATTTGCACTTTGTACAAGATTGTGGTTGTGGTCTCCAGATAGTTTAAATGACAACTTTCAAGCAGTCAAGTCAGACTGGGGAGATAATGTACCAGTACCAGAGCAGATTTCTCAACATTGTCATTTGGCTTTTCCATATGGTTTTTCTGAAATTTTGGAAAATCCTGTTTCAGGCAGTGTTACTCTTAATCTCCCGAGTGTCAGCGTCGCATTCGACCAATCGAGAGTCATTCTCAGCTGTCAATCATGACTGTTTCTTTAGCACCAAATTAAAGCCAAAATTATTTGAAACTACAACTACCTGAAATTACCATCTTTGAGAAAAAATAATTTGATATGTACTTTGACCTTATTGTTTTTCCCATCCACTAACATGGAGGAAGCAGGGTTTAAGGCCAATACTGCAGCCATAATGCTGCATCATAATGATTTGGCATTACTTTTGGTTAGCTGTCATGCAATCCATTCATTTGATGCGTACTTTGACTTTTATTTTGGTGCATGTCATGGTCATCTCCCTCTTCCTGGATGTAGTCCTCCTATTACATTAACTACTGTAGTTTATGCATCAGCAGCTGGCAGCAGCTATGCTACCACAATGCTGATGTCATCTCCAGGAGTCTGCTCTCTTTCTCCCTTCCTCCTCCTTCTCTGCATGTCTGAGCAAGTGAGGGCTTGTGGTGGGAGGTGAGGGGCCTGACTGGAGCTCCTCTCATCGGGGGATCGGTGGAGTGAGAGAAGCAGAGCTTTCACGGCTGGACTCAGATCCCCGGAGAGAGGCAATTTTTGCCCCGGCAGCCGGCCTTTTTTTCTCTGATGCATCCTAACCATAAAGGGAGTGGATAATGGAGGTAAAGTGTTTTTCCTCTCCTCCCTACCCCCAGAACATTAGACTGACAAACAAGGCAAGCTGTGCCAGAAGTATAGTGCAGTACAGTAGCTATAAGTGAGGTTTAGTGGGATATTGTGTTTGCTGTGCTTGTCTGAATTCTCTGAACAATCAGCGTCCCTGTGTTGGTATGTCACTGTACTGTAGTGATGTGTTGTGATGACAGTTCTATGTGGCTATTTTTAGCTTTCTGAACAGCTGAAGCTGCACTGACAGTCATGCTTTCCTCTCCTGCCGTAAAGCATGTCTCTGCAGTTCATTCCTTCTCAACCATGTAGCTGTTAGCTGATACACATGCTTGGAATTTCTTTAGCCACCAAAAAAAGTGGTCTCACCGCTATGGATCCTAGGATTTACAGAAAAAGTAAATGCTGGAACTTTTAGCCCAATGTGTCTCTGTTGTGTAGAGAATGTTTTTTAAGTACTTGTGGACTTCCACAAATCCTTTACCATGACATATACCCTAAGGATGTGCTTGATTTGGAGACAAATCACAGCTCTCATAGGATTCTGGAATTCTTTTCATTCATCGTGATCCAATTTTTTAAAAGGAAGACATAATCTTGTTCAGTAAACCTTAGTAAGGAGACATGAGCAACAGAAAGCAGATGCCCTCCATGTAGCACATTAGTGTTTGGAGTGAAAATATGACATGACACATACAGCTGAGAGTGACGTGGTGTGGAGGCCTTGTTCTTGGGGTTTTGCTGTTAACCACTGACAGACTGTTTGGCTGCTATGAATGCATCCATGACCTGTTGTGCTGATACTGCACCACTTTATAATTTGAATAATATTCAATCTTTGTTGGATGTATTTTTACAGATTGACAAACAACAACAAAGCAAAGACTCTGTGTTCTTCCGTGATGGGCTGCGGAGGATTGACTTTGTCTTGTCCTATGGGGACGAGAAAGATGGCGAGAGAAAACAGGTAAGAAACAACCTAAAGGTACATTTTAATTTGTTATATATTAATGTGTGCAGATTTATTGCTTTTTTTTCCTGATTTAGGAGAATGACAGAAAATTGATAATTGTTGCACAAACTAAACATCTTGAAATCTTAAATGGCACAAAAGAACAGTTACTGTTAAATCCAACCTTTGATTTAAACACTAAGAACTGGTTCTTACAGGATATCCTCACAGTGTGAGTCACTGGCATACTCTAAATACCACACCACAGATAAAGCTAGATAAACTGTTTCTCTGTTTCCATCCCAGATCCATGCAAGGACTTTTTTAAGGTCACTGCTGCATTGACAAAGAGTCACAAGCTTATTTTCTTCTTTGGTAAAACAACTTTGGTCACACGTTGTTCTGTGACCAGTTGCTATCCGCCGTGGGGCACTGAAGGACTTTGTGTGATTAATACTGAGCTGTTCACATGTGGATGTTACCACTCCCCCCGGTATGAGGCAGTTTGTCACAGCCTCGTCAGCGAGTCAACACTTAGACCTCTGGCCTGGTCAGGAAGAACCCTTCTCATTTTTTCCACTGTAAGAGGAAGGCCAAATAGGAGGCCACTTCCTGTGTTTTATCCATGTGCTGTAAAATGTGGCAGTAAATCCTCCCAGTTAGGCTTTTACTCTGTCAGTTTATACTGTGACGATATGGACAATTCCTTTATTTACAGTTTTTTATGATAATATTAAACCTTAAACAGTAAGGGACAAATTTTGTTATTGTATTTTCCGCAGTGTACACAGTAACTCTCACTACCAGTTTTCACTACCATGGCTGCTTCTGTTGAATCTTGGTTTCATATGTTTAATATGTGAATATCCAGATGTGCACACTTCACATTATGCATCTCTTCTCAAATTATAATTATTATTTATTTTTAGTCAGCTGTCAATATGTTTTTGAAATATTAATTACATGCATTTAAATTAATAGTTTTCAGTTTTTCACTCACTCATTTCAGTTGAGCTGTGATATTCTAAATTAACACATTTTATTTCAGTTCTGTACATGTCTGAATGTCTGAATGGCTCATAATCTAAGTACTGTATATGCTGCTCACTGTTAAGCATAAGGTTTGTGTGTACTTAATTTGTTATACAATACATTTCATTGTCATAATTCTATAATGGCAAAATTAAACTGAAACAGCTAATCAATATATGTACTATTCTGTTTTTTTCTCTTTAGGAGAGGAGGAGGGTATATGAGGCCAATTTAGCAAATGTTGGCCTGCAGCTGGAGACAGAAGATAAATCAGTAAGATTGTCATTTTGATTATGTCTAATCACAAAACAGATCACAAGTTATACTGGATGAATATATCATATTACATATCTTTGGGTTTCAAGATTTAGTCTCTAGAAATTCTCTCCTATTACTGAATACATTTTTGTTTGTGAATCAGTTGTTCTTTATTTATTTTTCTCTGATATTTATTTAACTTTCATTATCATCAGGAGTCAGAAGATGGGAAGACGTATTTTGTGAAGATCCACGCTCCATGGGAAGTGTTGGCCACCTACGCAGATGTGCTTAAGATCAAGGTTCCATTCAAGGTCAACGACATCCCAGAGAACAAAGAGATGCCAATGAACTGGCTGTCCACCCCGTTCCGTCTGCCTGAGCCCATCATGCACCCTGAGCCTGACTTCTTCACCGCTCCTTTCAACAACAGCAAGTCGGACTTCTTCCTCATCGATGACAAAGAGACTTTCTTCCCCCCTTCCACTCGCAACAGGATTGTAAGGATGCTTTGGCTTTTTTATCTTGTTTGTGAAATAATCAAATAATTCCATTCAAAGCTGAATTGGCTGCAAACTGCTGTAGCAGGCCTGAAGTAATATTTTGGAAAATAGTTATTAAGATGACTAACCTTCAAATTAAGCAGGTCGTTTTTATTTCTGACTGAAGTTCCATTATTTTAAAATTGTTGGGAACACAAAGGCAACTTCCGAATTTAATTTTGCATTTTATTTTTTATATTTTGTTTCACTCTCTCTGCTCAGGTCTACTACATCCTGTCCCGCTGTACATACTTGAGGGAGGAATGTGGGGATAAAGACAAAAAGGGAATCAAGAGGTTACTCAACAATGGCACCTACACTGCTGCCTTTCCCCTGCACGATGTGAGCCTCTTCTGGTCAACTTCTGGCACTTAACCCATCGAATGTTCACTATTTGCAGCAGTAATATCCTAGGGGAATCAGTGTGGGGTGTTGTAATGAAAGGATGACTAATACAACAAATGTGATTGTGAACTGTTTTCTCTGTACATGCAGAGTAGGTACTGGTCAAGATCGAGGGATGCTCACTGTGAGAGTGAGAGGTACAGTCTGTACAAACACTGGGCCAGATTCCTCTTTTTCTTCAAGGAGCAACCTCTCAACCTTGTCAGGCAAGATCTGAAAACAAAGTTGTCATATCTGATGTTTGTTAACTCAACTTTATTTTAACAGCAAAGGAATTCACAATTAATTTTGTTTTTCCTCTTCAACAGGAAGTACTATGGAGAGAAGATCGGCATTTATTTTGCCTGGCTGGGTTTCTACACTGAGATGTTGTTGTTTGCTGCAGTAGTTGGGACGATTTGTTTCGTCTACGGATTTCTCACTTACGATGACAATGAGTGGAGGTGAGTTCCACAAAGAAAACCGTCACTGTATTATTACATATCAGTTTGTAATAATAAAAAAAAAAATCATCTCCCAACAGTAAAGAAATATGTAGTGGGGAAATCGGAGGAAAAATCGTCATGTGCCCGCTGTGTGACAAGAAATGTGGCTTCTGGAAACTTAACTCAACATGTAACTCCTCATGGGTGAGATATCCTGACTTTCCTACTGAGTTATTTGTGTTTGCGATTCATATTCTACCCACATATGTGACATTTAAAGGCTGGTTGAAACTAAATCAGTTTTTCATTATCTCACTATTTGTCAAACATGCTCTTCTTTCAGCAATCACACCTATTTGACAATGTGGGAACTGTGTTTTTTGCCATATTCATGGGGATATGGGGTGAGTAAAGATATTGTCTCTTAGTATTTTATATCTTCTGACCCTGTGCACCACCTAGTGGGAGCTGTTGAACTATACTACTCATAATTGCTTTGGCTCACTCTGTAAACAAACAGTTCAATCAATCACAATAACACATTAATTATTAAGTTTAGCTTTGGTTTCATTTGCTGAGTATAATGAGGTCAAAGCAGTGACACATTATATTTGAATACCTCAACAACATCGCTGTGTAGTACATTTAAATCATTATTCATTATTTTAAAATAAACTTTTTCATATTGGCCTAGAGATTAATCAGGTTGAGAAGTTAGCCTAATACACCTGGTGTGGTTGGATGTCTCTTCAGTGACGCTATTCCTGGAGTTCTGGAAGAGGCGGCAGGCTCGTCTCGAGTATGAGTGGGATCTGGTCGACTTTGAGGAGGAGCAACAGCAGCTGCAGCTTCGGCCAGAGTATGAGACCAAGTGCTCCAGCCGCAAGATGAACCGCATCACTCAGGTGTTTGGGTGCTCATGAAATACTGAAATCCTGTATGATAATGTTCTAATGTGCAGCTCTACGTCTGTGTAGCTCCCACAAGACTGTACCAGACAGATATACTGTATTTAGGGACTAAGAATGATTACATGATACAGTATGTGTTGTATATTGAATACAGGCTCTACACGTTGAGTTGCAGTCATTCATTATCCACTGCCTTTACTAAAAAGCAGGTTTGAATAGAGACTTTTAAAATCAATATGTTCTGTAATTAGTTGTAAATAGTGATGGTAGCAGGGACAAATTTGAATTGCAAGAGCAACAGGGTGCTTTAATTTGTTGTGACCGCATTCCACCTGTCTTTAGGAATCAGAGTTGGTTCTTAACAGGACTGCCGCAGATCTATTGGGGAAATTATTTCTGTGCTGGGCCACCGTGGTGCTCTGGGTAAGGCTGGCAGTTAATGTGGAATGCCAGTGTTGGTAAGGGAGAGGTTTTGGTGTGATGTATTTTTCTGGAAAGACTTGGAGGCACAAACTTCCTTCTCTGCTGCATTCCTGTTTGTCTGGTGGATCTGTGTCTTGAAAGAGGTTTTTGCAAAAGCATGACTCCAGCCGGAGTCTGTTCCATGAAATATTTGGACTCACGCCTAAATTCCTACAAGTAAAAAACTCTGATTGGGATCTCCTTCTCTTGTCTTTGGCTAGTGGTAATAAAAGGGACTTGGCCTGGAGGGGTCTTTTCAGGATATAACAAATGATTACTGACTCCTGTGTCCATGCTTTGCTTGGTTATGATGTAGGAAATGGAGCCATACTTACCCATAACAAGCAAGTGTGCACGCATATGTCTATCTGGAGCCACAGTCATTTTCTGGGTGAGCATAGTATCTTTGGTTCTTCATTAATTACAACTGCTTTCAACTATCTTCTATCTGTTCTTCCTGCCTGTGTCACTTACCTTTTCCTTCATACTGTTAATCATCATCACATTGACTAGACTGTATGTAATGATGGACAACATGACAATTTTTCCCAAAGAGAAGTGAAAAATCATCTTGATCGCCTCATGGTGGTTGGCTACAGCATGGGTCATAAACTTTGGCCGAACCATGTCAGTGGGTGGGACATGGAAAAAACAAATATGGCGTGGTTATTTGATGCTATGAAAACAACATGAAACATCATGATTGACAGCTGAGACTATTTTCCAAACGTTTGTATCGGTGGGACCTCGATACTGTGGCTCCACACCATGATCACTACTGCATAGGCGCTGGCTCCAAATTACATCAGAAGTGTAAGATGGTGGGACCCAGGGATACTGTAGCTTAATTCTTGCACAACAGGGGGAAGTGGAGATATGTTGTCCATCCATGCAGTCTATGCAATGAACAGTATCATGTGACCAGAGCCAGTTTGTGTAAAACCTCTAAGAAATTGAGCTCTTGTAAATAATTTAAAAGCTGAGATGAGCACAGTTGTATGTATGTATGCATGCATGCATTTACTATTAGTTATAACAATCATATCAAAATTATTTTTACACATTTAAGACCAAACCGTATGCATACCAGCCCTGAATTTATAACTATTATCTAAACGTCTGTAAAAACCATTAAATTTAAGATTATGGTAGCTGTGTTTTCATGGGGCATGTGTGCACAACTCAAGCCTTCTAACATTTTATGTTGGCTGTACCTCACCTGTATCTGTATGTGATCTGCTGTGGTGTTCTCACTGAACCTTTGTGTCATGACTTGCTGTGCCATGCAGTTGTCTTTCATGTTGCCACTGTTGTGTCTCTGCCCTGAAGATTTCATTGATCATTGCCTGCATCATTGGCGTGATAGCGTACCGCCTGGCAGTGTACGCCGCCTTCGCCAGCATCATGAAGGACAACCCCACCACCCAGCTGCACGTGGTGGGCCCCTACATCACGCCACAGCTGGCCACCTCTGTCACCGCCTCCTGCATCAACTTTGTCATCATCATGATCCTCAATCTTATGTATGAGAGGGTGGCTGTTTGGATCACTGATATGGGTGAGGGCCAGAGTGAGATGATGTAAACAAGATTACATTTCCGTGTTTTTATGTGTCTACACATCAGTGCCCTGTAAGTAGGCTCAACAATCCCCTTATGAAACCACATTTAAATTCATTTAATCCAGATTTTTATTTGAATTCGTATTTAACACATTCAAAAATATCAGTCCCGTAACATGCCTTTATAATATATATATATATAAATAATATAAATCATTATTCTTTGAGAAGTCAACAAGCATGTTGTCAAATTGTTACATTGTTAAAGAAAGAGAATCCTGGGTCTACCTCCTGATTAGGATCCGCATTGAATGTTATGGGTTTGCTGAGTCATGTCTCTATACAAAACTTTATAGAAATAGTTTGTGTGTAATCCTGCTAACTAACAAACATAAACGCAGAGGTAAAGGGTAAAGAGGTAAAAAAAAGTGTTCTTATTTAGTTTATGTATTTAAAATCTATCTTTTATCACCTTTTACTATGTGACAGAAATTCCAAAGACACACTTGGAGTATGAGAACAAGTTGACGGTGAAGATGTTCCTCTTCCAGTTCGTCAACTACTACTCCTCCTGCTTCTACGTGGCTTTCTTTAAGGGCAAGTTTGTCGGCTATCCTGGAAATTATGCCTACATGTTTGGCAAGTGGAGCAAACTGAGGAATGAAGAGGTACATAACGCTGTTGAATTAGCATCAATAACTCAGCTACAGTGTGAATTTAAGTTCATTTTTGTCACTTTTCTGTCGCCACCTGTCTGAATACAGTGTGACCCTGGTGGTTGTCTTATTGAGCTGACCACCCAGCTGGTGATAGTGATGACTGGTAAACAGGTGTGGGGCAACATCCAAGAGGCGCTGGTCCCGTGAGTATTCCATCTGAGTGTGCCACAGTCATCTCTTTGTAAATAGCTGTGTTGTGGCTGTCTGAGGGCATCGTCTGCTGCATCTGAAGCTCTCCATCACTCCCCTGCTTCCTTTAGGTGGCTGATGAACTGGTGGGGCAGCAGGAAGGCACGAAAACACCCAGAGAGTCTTTACAGCCGCTGGGAGCAGGACAACGATCTGCAAAGCTTTGGACAGCTGGGTCTTTTCTACGAGTACCTGGAAATGGGTAAACATTTATTACAACACCAGTCCATTACACAGAGGGGGAACTTCTTGAAGGTTAGGCTGCAGCCAAGACCATCTAATTTAAGTCCAAGTCACCATTTAAGTCACAGGACAGATATCCAACATGAATACTTTATAAAGGTTTACCTTCAGTCAAAATATGTTTCTATAGGTAGATAAATAGGTGCAGTGTCTTCTGAGATCCTACAGATGGTGCTGTTTCCATCATGCTGCCTCTCACTGACCTCTCGTCTCTGTGTCCCAGTGATCCAGTTTGGTTTCATCACACTTTTCGTCGCCTCCTTCCCCCTGGCACCCCTGCTGGCGCTGATCAACAACATCATTGAAGTAAGAGTGGATGCCTGGAAGCTCACCACTCAGTACAGACGCCCCGTGGCAGCCAAGGCCCACAGCATTGGGGCCTGGGAGGAAATCCTCAGTGGGATCGCCGTCCTCTCTGTTGTCACAAATGTTAGTACTGAAATACATCTGTCTGTAGTCAGTGTGACTGCTCAATTTCTCCCAAGTTTTACCTTAGTTTTATCCTCACACCATCTTTCCCTTGCTTCTTTAGGCGTTCATCGTGGCCTTCACCTCTGATATGATCCCTCGGCTTGTGTACATGTATGCCTACCACCCAGATGGCGAGATGAATATGAAAGGCTACATAAACAACAGCCTGTCGATTTTCAATATATCTGCGATCCCACTGGCCAACAGCCCTGAGGAAGGGGAGAACCCTGCTTGGTTCAACAGCTCCATCACAACCTGCAGGTGAGTGTGTGTATTTGTTTAATTTGAGATACAAGTGCAGAAGTATTACTAGTAAAAGGTACTTTAATTTAATTATAAAGAGAGGCCATTTTCAGTGTCAAATATATTACATTAGCCGGTTGTTTTTATGAATGTGTTCAAATTTGAGCAATAATCTAATGTGGCTGGTTGGGTGAAGCTAATTTGAACTATTTTGTAGCTTTGCACAAAAATATATTGTGTGTAAAATCAAAGTACCTGCTCATGTCAGGTGTTAAATACATACAGAAGAGGAAAATAAACATTGCTTCCCTTTAAATAGAACAGAAGTACAAATGAACATATATAAGTAAAGAACAAGTGCTAAAAAGCATCATAGTAGAATAAATACAATTTCATTCTCTTTTGCACAGTGGATTGAAGAATGACTTGAAACTATCTTTAAGTGTAAAAATCTGCAGCAAACACAAAACTCTTGTTCTTTGTTCGTAGGTATCGTGATTTCCGCTACCCTCCGGGCCATGAGAAGCAGTACACCCACACCATGCAGTTCTGGCATATTTTGGCTGCCAAGCTTGCTTTCATTATCATCATGGAGGTAAATCCACCAACACTTACTGACCTCATGAACTGAGCCTCAGATTCTTCCCTTGAGCTGTAGATTGTTGTTGCATCAATAAGAACGCCCATCTGTCTTCACTCATGTTTCTCTTATATAATACAAAGTCTGACTCCTCACAGAACTTCTTCCTCAGCTCTTAAAGTAGTTTTTCCAACATGAACCCATTGTACTCTTTTCTTCTGCAGCATGTCGCGTTCATGGTCAAGTTCTTCGTAGCCTGGATGATCCCAGATGTTCCCTCTGATGTGAGGGCTCGAGTGAAGAGAGAGCGCTACCTGGTCCAGGAATATCTCCATAACTACGAGGTGGAGAAGCTGAAGATGCAGCTCAGCCAAAACAACAGTAGCAATGACTGTTCCTGCACGCCCATGATCTATCCATCTTTATCCAAACACGAGGTGCTGTCAGAGTGTCTCTAGCCCAGCGAGCTGCTGGTCGATCAGCTGGACATGATGGGATGACATGGTGATATAGATTGACCAGCTTATGTATGATGATACATCTCTTTACTGTAGTGCCTGTGTTGTTTGTGCAGTACACAGACGTTTATCAAAGAGCTATAGAGGTTTCCATCATTCACACACATCCTGCTAATTGTGAAGTGCACACAATGACCACGTCTCCATGCATGCTGACTTAAAGCAGTCAAATTTAAATGCTGTCTCATATTTATAGCTTTTCATGCTCTTTTTTGTAATTATAGTGATCATTCAGATCATATACTGTGTCGGAAAGATCACTTATTTAATTGACATCATAACTAACCAAAGAATGGATGCCTTAATATATCACACACTTACCACTGATATTATATATCTGCCAGTAAATTATCAATATTATTTGGAAACTGATTTTGCCTATTTTCTAGTTTGAATATTTGTTTGTTTGTACGGTGATATGAAGGGTTCCAGTGTCATGTACTATAAGTTAATGTTTGGAGTTTTTTTAACTGTAACAAATGTGAGTATTGTTTATTTGACATTATTGTGGTCATGACACAGACGTAACACACTTTTACCAAATTATTTTCCTTACTCCGGTGGCTTTTAAGAATCCTGCGCTGAGCTTGTTACAGCCCAACAGTTGTTCCAGGTCAAAAACTGACTTGTGAAGTAGGTTTTTATGAAGAGAAAAGGGTGCTGCTGTTATTACTGTGAGAACAGGCAAGATTTTGTCCTGAGATGGCCAGTTGTTGAGCAGCTGCAGCAGCTGTCAATTGTTGACAGTGAGACTTGTTCCTGGAGATGAGAAGCAAAAAGCCCTGAGAGGGTGAAGAGATCCCTTTTTAATGTGCCTCTGTTTACCAACACGTTAGAGCTAATGAAAGCCTGCAGCCCCCACCTACTCAACTATGTTTGCTTCATTACACAAAGCACATCAGCCTCCTGGGTTCCTCGGCTTTGTCTGTGTAGTGAAGGAAAGATACACATTTTTTTTTATTTTGCACAAAGCACCTAATAAAACCTCACTACCAAGACATAAACATGTCAATCTATTTGTTGTCCTTACACCACAAAATGATAATCAGTGTTTTAAATCCACACTCTGCGATGGTCCTTGTTCGTTACATAAACAAGAGTTTTACTGTAGTAAGGAGTTTCTTGTTCTGAGTGTTTTGATTTGGAGTAAAGATGTAGCGTTTTGTAAGGATTTTTCACATTTATTCGACCGCATACATGTGAGTACAGAGCAGAACTGACGTATTGTAATTTAATGTAAATGTAAAACTGGCTGTGCTTCAAACTCAGGCAACTATCTGTTTGTTTTTAGATGTGACCACTTTAGCTGAGAGCAAAGTTGGACCTCTTAGTTTTTCTTGCTGATCTATGCCTGTTGATGCCTTAATAAATCAAACAACTTTGTTCTCCATTTTATTTCTTTAACTTTTTTTCATCGTGTCTTCTTGTTAAGCTTTGATAACCTTTGATTTTATACTGTTACCATACATGAAATGGGTGAACCTGTTTACTGTATGCTGAAAGTTACAATTTCGTATTTTCATTTATTTAGTTCTGACATTTTTGTAATCGTCATATTTACAAATGTATAATGCAACAAAGGCTATTCTCCAAAATAAAGTACCTGTTGAACTTGAGTAGTTGTGGGAAATGTTTGAATGTGGGCCTCCTTGCCAAAAACATGAAAGTTGCTGTCCCCAGAACAGATGGCCCGGAAAACACACTGATAACTATTCGATGTTTGTTCACACATGGTGGGCGTGCTTGACACCAACATATGTTGGCATGGTTCTTTCTCTTGGCACAGTAACAAAGACATGGGAAACACTCAGGTCCAGGTAGGTCGGAGAGGGTCGGCATGATTTTAAACACGTTACAAGGACATTAAGAGATTCATGGAACAACTAAAACAGTTTCTAACAGAGTTTTGTGGCTAACTATAAAGATGATTGCAAAATTACATGTTCTTCTATGAAGGCAAGTAGACTACATGGCTTCACTTTTTGTGTCCTAAAGCTTGTTAGATGAGGAAAATTTGAAATAACACTGCATGTGAAAAGTCCAAGCTGAACCTCTGTGATGGTGAATGTCCAGGCTCCAGAGGAAGCCTTCTGTGACCTGGAGCCACACCAGGGTTTACAGCTGGTCCAGCTCACAGTGATGCCGTCCTTCTTCGTGGTGGTGCTGGTCCTCGGGCTGCCCCTCAACCTGCTCTCCCTCTGGATCTTCTTCCACCGCATGCGCCGCTGGACCCGCAGCACCGTGTTCCTCTTCAACCTGACCCTGGCCGACACCTCGTGGCTGCTGGCCTTGCCCCTCCTCGTCCATTACCACGTGGACCGGCTGCGCTGGAGGCTGGGGCTGCAGCTGTGCGTGGCCGTGAGGATGCTCTACCACAACTACTTCTACCTCAGCATCTTCTTCGTCACCTGCGTCAGCGTGGACCGGTACCTGGCCATCGTGCACCCGCTGCGCTCTCTGGTGCTGCTGGGCCGGAGGAAGACTTACCTGCTGTGCGTGGCGGTGTGGGCGGCCACTCTGCTCCTCAGCGTGCCGGTGGCCAGCATGACCCTCATCCAGACCTGCCCCGAGAGCAACCGCACCGTGTGCACCCTGTACATCCTGCTGAGTGAGTCCGGAGAGAGCCTACCGTATTCCCTCGTTTGCACCATCCTCTGCTTCCTCTTGCCGCTGCTCCTCATCTGTTACTGCGGCCTGCGCAGCGTCCGGGAGCTGCGGCGGAGGCCCAGCCGAACCGACCCGCACAACAGGCAGCGGCGGCGGCTGCGGCGCGTCCTGAGCGCAGCGCTGGTCCTCTTCGCCCTCTTCTACCTGCCCTACCACCTGAGCCGCAACGCCGCCATCGTGATGAGGGCGATCTACCCCGAAAACCCAGCCTCTTGGTGGGCCTCAGACCTGGCCTTCACCCTGGAGATGTGCTTCTGCAGCCTCATCACCTGCGTCAACCCGCTGTTCAGCTGCTTCATAGGCCGCCAGTTCAGGGGAGAGTTCCAGGGCTCTCTGACGGTGGTGTTCTCCCAGTGTCCAGGCATGCAGGTGGCCTCTGTGATATCTAAGAGGACCCGGAGGACGATGCGGAGGAGGCAGGGGATGTCTGCTGTCACACCTGAGTGCGCACTACCAGCACCTGAACTTTAAAATATGTCTAAGAACTATAGTAAACTTTGTATATTTGTATTTTAATCACTTCTTCCCTTTGATTACTGATAAATGTATACATTGTAGAAAAGGCCCCAAAGATAAAGAGTTATTTGTGTCTGGGTTCAGCCAAATTCCCTTTGTTTCAGACCATGTGGCCACAAATTCATTGTGCAAATTGTTTGGCCAAAAATGTACAAAATGACAGTTGATTTGACATGGATAGTAATCATGATAAATATATTTATCATATATACATATTATTTATTTTGAGTTTAAAAAGTGATTTATGCTCCTGGGCAGAGAAGGACAAACTTGATAAACAAAACTATGAGTAAATCTGAGGTGTATGTGTTATACTTCCTCACTGTAATTACACAATGCATTCAATTGATTTATACTGAAGCTTTGTTTCACTGCTATTAATGAAAACTATATTACAATAAGTATTGATAATTTTATTGTCCATCCATATTTAAAATAATTTGTTTTATATCTGTATTATAGCTATTTATGATACACCCTAATTAATATAATAAAAGACTCCCGATGCTTGTTGACCTTAATGGCTGCAAACATCTTGTAATGTAAGTAAATAATATATATATAAACATATATATGTGGATATGGATGTGTTTATATATAAATGCATCATTAGGAACTTATTGGTGTAAATATGTCTGAGAATCACATGAAATGAATTTTTGAAATAACAGACTACATTAAAACATGGAAACTGACTTCGCCCTATAAGTCGAACTAAAGCATCTCGGTTGTCACCTGGTGCCTGTCTGGAGTATACATCATAAACCTGCCTCCTCCGTGTTGGTGGAGTTGACAGGGACCCAACATAAAAGTTAGAATACAGGTCAAATACAGGTCAAGTTTGTTCCTGGCATTTTACACAATTATCACACCGATGCCTGTTCAAGTGTTTATTTTTCCATCAAGTTTGGTTTTGATTAGTTATTTTAAGCTATAAAAATGTAGATAATATCATAGCTGACAGCTGAGATCGACTCATGATGGACAGAGTGTGCGTATCTGTGCAAGATGGCAGAGTTCATCTCTATTATTTTAGATGATACTTTGGCTTCATTCGATTGATATGCATCACACTGCACATGAGACAAGTTAACATGTATACATACACTTAAAAAACGAAAACTCAAAATTGTTCACCTAAATTGGAGTTTTTAATAAAGTGAACAAAAACATTTATTGCTTTATAAAATCTCAAAGTATTTGATTCTTGTGTAAAGTTGGCCTCAATATAAGTTCGCTAAACAAATCAATTTGAGTTTGAATGTCAGAACGGGGTTTCCAAGCAGTTTAGCAGGGGTTTTCAACCACATGGTGTCTTACCTCCATTTTGAGTGAAGCCTGTCCTGAAGGTGAGTGTTTTGTTTGTTGTGAGAAATTCAGTCTTTGCATTAAGTAGACTACATTAAAACTGAATTAGAAAGATTACCTTGTAATGTTTAGGAGGTTAATATTATGTTTTGAGATTTAGCAAGACCAGCTGGATATGTGACCAGAATGATGAACTTTTTTAGGGTGTGTGTTTGACAGGTTATATGCATGATAACAGTTGATAAGAATATTTTTGTCACTGTCTTAGTCTGCGTGTCTCTGTCCACTGGTAATTCATAGTGTTGTGTTTGGATCCGCTCTTTATGCCCTCTTTCCCTGGGTGCAGCTGCATTAGTGCACATGAGACAGCTCGTTCACTTGTTTAAATTAAACAGCATTTGAACCATCACTTGACTCTTTACATAATACTGTGGAGGATTTGGACTGAAGTTGTGTTCTGGTTGACACACCAAGGTGAACTTTGGGATAAATACAGAGTCATTTCTCACATTAAACCTATTCCTCTCTTCTCCACTACATAGGCCTAATGGTTTCCAGTCTGCATCTCCTGTTGATCCAACACAGATGAAACCAAACCAGAGACAGACCAGGTATGTAGACCTTTTTATGTGTCCCCCAAACTGGGTGTCCATCGTCTTAGAGCATTCTTTCTTCCAGAGTGGGCTGTGACAATTATATATATTAGCTTGGCTTTGAGACTACGAGGTTTGGCCTTGAATTTATTTACACAACACTGCCTCTGTGTGGCTGACTGCAGACTGTACTTCCCACAGGACCCACGAGTGAATATCATGTCTTTCTTTTGTTCCTTTAAATACTTGAATTCACCGTTTATTAAATTAAGTGAAAATAAAGCTTCTTTTTTTTAAATCCCAGACTTGTTTAAACATTTTCCGTGAATAAAAGGAAAATGACAGAAAAACAAACACCAACAATCACAGGACAGCCACCACAACAACCTCCTGAATAGGAATAGTTACGAATACTGTTACAAAAACGTCATCAACAGGACCTCAGGTTACAATTACAGCCACAACAACCGGGGAGAAATCCACTGAACGTCCACAGCAGAGCCCAGAACTTCAGCAACAAGAGAAAAACCCATCACCACAAAAGCCCCTGAATCCACAGTCACAGAAAAGTAGAGCTCAACCACAAAATTAGCAAATTTTTGTTTGACTGAGGTGATGGCTGACATTAACAGACCCATTGTTTTCTCTTGCTCTGCAGTTTAATTTAACTACTTAACATTAGCTGCATAACTAATAAAAGGTTTTTCTTCAGCCAAACGCTCCTAAAAAGATTGTCAAAGTAATGTCAAAAGGTGTTGTGTTGTAACAGCACACACAGTCTGGTCTTTATATACTTGCATGCAAACAGCGGACACAACGCAAACACTGACACCTTTGCTGGCTGAGCCTTGGCACAATAAAAAAGCAGCTGGCTCCTATGTACGTATCTACTACCACTACTACTTTTTTATTCATAATGAAAKCTAGACTGGCATTCAGCAGAGAGCATGTTACGCCAAGGTCCAAAAGTTCCCTTATGAAACCACATATAGACACACACTCATATCATTCCCCTAAAGATGTCTATTTTTTAATGAATATCCACTAATTCTGTTTTGATAAATCTATGCTTAAAAATACCCAATCTAACAATGTTAATGTGGATCAACAAGAAAAATTAAATGGCTTTTTCCTTGAGTCATGTCCTAAATTTTAATAGATTTGTGGATTTAAAGTTTGAATTTCATGATAAATCGTCTTGTTACCTCTTTCCTGATCACACATGTTCCTCTCCTGAAGACTGGTCTGGCCTTGTGGTCATAGAATCAGAATATAATCTTATATTCTTGACATCTGATATTTGCTGTAACAGAACGTGAAAAACTTTCCTATAACCTAAGTTTTAAATTCACCTGTCAAGTTAGCCCACAGTTTTGTAAATGCTAGAAATGCTGCATACACCTTATATATATCAGACAAATAGATACATGGATGTATTCGATTTCTGGTATTTGAGACAGCTGTCTCACGTCTTCTGACAAAATTTCTTGTTTGAAATGTCATTTCTGTCAGTTTTTATTGGAAATGTGTTGGATGTTAAACAGTATTATAGAAGAACGCATTTCAGAATCTTGAATAGTTCAACTTCTAAGGTCATTTGGCGAGAGCACGTTCCTTCCTGTACCAGTGATGACATATGCTGCTGGTCAACAAATGACTTTCCTCATCATGCAGCTGTCCTCCTCGGGGAGCGGTCCACCACCTTGTTTGCGCTTGGAGGAGCTGCCACTGAATTCGAGAACATGCAAAAATACATTCGTATGTGTATCCAGGATATCACCACAGATAAGACAAATGAGTAAATAGTTTTAGTAAAAGATGACGGTCGGAATACGTGGGAAGTAAAAGATCAACTCACCAGCTGGAGCAATTATTGACTTCCTAAGCTGTAAAACGACTGAAGTTGAAGTTTTCTCTGCCTCTAGAATAGTTTTCACATGTTAAATTGGGGTTAAACACATGGTTCTTATGGGCACAACACAAACTAATTAACATGACTTTGTCTGCTACAATGACGGCATGTTAAAGTGAGACTGAAGGTATAAACCTGCAGTCGACATGTAGATCTCACAAACAGCGTCTTACCACATTCAAAACATATTTAGGTAATATTAAAGCGAAATACATATTTAACAAACACAAAACAAACATGCTCAACTTCATTCTCTAACATGTTGTTAAAGGTACAGTGTGTAGAATTTAGTGATATCGAGTGTCATGCTACAGTTGAACACCCCTCACCTCACCCTCCCCTTCCAAACATGAAAAAGATCCAGTGGTAGCTTCAGTTGTCATAAAAACTCAAAAGATGTTTAGTTTGTTCAGTCTGGACTAATGTAAAAAACATGGCGGCCTCCAAAGAGAGGACCCCCTCAGTGCAAATATAAAGTATTTAAATATAAAGGGCCTTTTCTGGGGTAAAAAAAAATGCAATTTGTACAATTTAGATGAAACAAACTATTGAAAACATCATGAGGATTATTCTACAATAAATTTCTGCCAGTAGATCCCGTTTACCTAAATCTTACACACTGGAGCTTTAACCGATAACAGATTTAGGCCTCTGTTCTCACTCTGTATATGACTGTGTATATTCTGGACTAATTATTGTCTGCATTCATTTTGAATATGTACATATGTATATATATATATATATTTGAAGTAATGATAATTCATTAATAATTAAGTTAATATCATTCCTTTTTTTGCAGTGTTATAATGTCAAAGAGCAACTTCATTTAATTTTGTTAAATTCCAACATTCCCTCCCTTCTAGTGCCAATGTAAACTTTACGAGTTTACACTATAATAACTATAGTTACCACGAAAAACAAACATTCTCAAACAACATAAATGATTGTGTCATTAAGAATTAACACCATTTATGGCTCTATCAAATCATGTTAAGATAATAATAACTTTAACATTTTTATTTTCTCAATGAATGCATTTCCTTTCTTATGAAACGTCTTTTGATGCAAACTTTATTTGACAAGGCACTACAGGGACATGCGGTAAAGATTTTAACAAATACTTATTACAAGGAAACTTCCCCAGTTGAATTTTAGTATTCATTTTTTTTTCATTTCATTTTTTTATTGAAGTATGCAATTAACATATGGTCTAATTTGTATACAATTTCAGAATAGGACATTGGATAAATCCAGGTTCAAAATTCTTGTTACATTTTTTGACATGGTATAAGCAAAGTTTTTTACTTATAGGATATTTTATATTTCTTTTCATCACTTTATAAATTAGAAAATACTGTCAACAGCCATTCAAATCAAATTTCACCATCCTTTAGAAATAACACATTATATAAGATGATATATGAAAAAAAATTAATTAATTCAAATATAGCTAGGAATTAGTTATTGCCTCGATTAATTTATTTATTCTCACTAAAAAAGTTCTATTGCTGTAGTTTTATGTATTTTGATACTGTTTTGCATTGATATTGTTATCAGCGTTAAATAAGCTGAAACATCTGAAATGTGRCACATCATCAGTTTAACAGCAGTTGCTCTTGTTATGACACTGAGTTATCAGATTTCACCCAAATGTATTATTACAGAACAAATACATTTTTTTATTGGTGCTCATCTCTAAATAAATACTGTTACATGTTTGGAGTGCAAACATGTTTGTTTAATTGAGAGATAAGGAAAAWGTAATGATTATATGGGACTTGTGAAGGRGTTGGACGTCCATTCAGCACATGTTTGTCATGTATTGGTAATAAAACTAAGAAAGAGGGTGGGAGTAAAGAATTGTGCAATCTGAATATAAAGGGCTGCTGAGTGTCGCCTGACTGTTACCTGCTTCAGAGACAGAAAACCCACAGTCGCAACCATGAGGTGGAGCTGTGTGGGGCTGTGTTTCCTTARGCTGGCTGTTGTTTTTGTTGATGTGCAGGCCAGACAGGGTAAGACTGTTTTCAGGGCTGTGCAAATGGATTATTATACTTGAATAATCTRATCTAGAACATTTAATAATTTCAWCTATTTTGTGCACTTTGTATTTTCCTCAGTTCTCAACCATGTCAGCAGCATCTGCAGCACGTGGGGCCGGGAGCACTTCAAGACATTTGACGGTGACGTGTTCCAGTTTCCTTCCATGTGTGAATACAATCTGGTCTCTYACTGCCACGAGTCCTACCAGGAGTTCTCAGTGCACATAAAGAGGAGGGAGGATGACGGAGACCCCACCATCAGTTACGTGGTGGTCACCATCAGTGACCTGTCATTCCATCTCAGCAAGACGCTGGTCACTGTGAACAATGAGCCGTAAGTAAAGAATCCATGAAGCCTCTGAAAGAAGCTGTACATCATAATAATAAAACACGTTCTCTTTTCCCAGTGTCAAGCTGCCATACCACAAGGCAGGGGTCCAAGTGGAAAAAAACTTTATTTACATCAAACTCCAGTCCAAAGTCGGCATCACGGTCATGTGGAACAGTGACGATGCAGTCATGGTAAAAAAAATTGATTGTTGCATCTTTAGAGCTCTGATGCTGTGATACATCAGATATAAGTACACCCACASAGGTACAACTTCAGGTCTCCTGTATAATTCATAAAAGAGATCAAGGAGTGCATTTTAAACTTTATTTAATTCAAGGAAGCCTATTGTGTATAGGAACATGCTTATCTTTTAATAACAGAACAAACCGACCTCATAAGGTTACAGTTATGTTAAATTAGCTCATCCTTTAGTTTTCTTCTTGTTTCTTCTTCTCATTCACACTCGTATCATATAAATCATACAAAATCACACCATTTATGTCACTTGATGAGGTCATTCAAATCTGCATTTGTTTTGTTTGTGTGTCTAATAGAGTATCAAAGTTATTTAAAATGGTTTAAGGCAACACTGCAACWATTTTACCTTTAAATAACAGAAATTATAATAGTGAGGATGATGCTGCTTTCATTCCCTTGTGAAAAAGCCTATCATAATGTTTTGCTACAGGTGGAACTGGATCGCGACTATGCTAATCAAACCTGTGGACTTTGTGGAGACTTCAACGGTGTTTCAGTCTACGATGAGTTCATTCACAATGGTATACATGCTMTTCACTTCATGTATGTACTCATTTCGTCAGTTGCCCGCCGAACCTTCTTGTATTTGACAAAATGTAACATAATTAAATTCAGGTCGCAAAATCAGCCCAATTGAGTTTGGCAACAAACAGAGAGTCCATAATCCAAACGAAGATTGCGAGGACCCGTTTGAAGAGGATTATGAATCACTGGACGCTGAGAATGTGCCGGATTCATGCAAGACGTTTGTGAGTTTATTATCCACTGCATTTTAGCAGTAGTTATATTYATATGCAGCATTTTCAACAGAGTATCTCTGGTTCTGTCATCTCTTCCCTTTCAGCAAACCACCTGTGACCAGATGTTGCGTTCAGAGTCCTGGAGCTCCTGCATCAAACTGATTGACCCTGAACCTTACATCCAGGCCTGTGTGCAGGACATGTGCGGCTGCACCAACAGAACAAAGGACTTCTGTGTCTGCAGCACATTGTCTGAGTTCTCTCGACAGTGTTCCCATGCAGGAGGGCAGCCTCCCACCTGGAGGACACCTCAGTTCTGTGGTAATGTTTGTTGTTCTCTCTTCTGTGTTTATATTTTGCTGTTTGGTCTGGAGAGAGTATAAGTACAGAAATCAGCTGTKAAACTCATTTAAATAGCTATTTGAAAGAAGGTACTGTGTAACTCTCTGAAAATGATTATATTTTCTATTTAAGGTGTAATCTYTATTGTCCCTGAGGGGCAACTTGGTTTGCAAACAGTAGTTACACAATCCATACACATCATAATAGTACATGAAATACATTAATACATATACAGAACATGCAGCCATCATTGAAATAAGTTTTTTTTTAAGCAAGAGTCTTTTAGCCTTTTGTTAAAACATGTGTGTCTAATATCAGCAAGGCTGACAGCTTGTTTAAGTGAACAACAGCTGAGGGGACAAAAGATCTCAAATATCCCTTTGTCTGTCCCTCCTGATGGCAGAACTTGAAATTCTGCATGAATAGGGTGTCGAGGGTCTGCTAATATGACCTTTGCCCTCTGAGTGGCTCTAACTTGGAAAACATGGCCGAGATCATTCATGTTGGTGCTGCTCTAGTGTGAGAGGATWAGTTATAATCTATCATGTAAAAAAGATCAGAAAACACAAACACTTGAATCTAAATATTTGTGACTAACATGGGCGAGGTGGGSTTTATGACTTATACTGCAGCCAGCCACCYGGGGGCGAAACTGATTATCTGGCCTCACTTTTTGGGGAGCTGTATTATCGTCCATTTTTATACATAGTCTATGATATACACTTATGTAARGTMTGATTGATTTAAATAAAACTTAATGAGTGCCAATCAAATAATGCATAAAAAGCTACTTTTYTTACASTTTAGAGATGAATACAAGCGAGTCWCTTCCTACCTCTGTTCATTTCAATTGTACCACGTCCTCACAGCAAAGCAGTGCCCCTTCAACATGGTTTATGAGGAGAGCGGTTCACCTTGTATGGACACTTGCTCACATCAGGACACAAGTTCACTGTGTGAGGACCACAAAATGGACGGCTGCTTCTGTCCTCCTGGTCAGTGCTCTTCACATGTGTCTTGCCACATATTTTTAACAGTTCCACAGTTTCGCTTATACTTATCATTTGATAAAACCGTCTGCTTCAGGAACTGTGTTTGATGATATTTCCAAGAGAGGGTGTGTCYTTCAATCTGCATGTCAGTGCAAACATGACAAGGTCTATAACTCCAGCCAGGTTTACCGACAGGACCGATCTGAGTGGTATGTTCTATTTCATGGTGTAAACATAATGAGTTATTTTGGGCCGTGTTTTTCGTTGGTTTTGAATCATTTGTGTTATTTCAGTACATGTTTGGAGGGTAGATGGGCCTGTAAGAGCCTCCAAACACCTGCTACATGTGCAGTCGAGGAGGGTTCACATGTCACCACCTTCGATGGGAAAACCTTCACCTTCCATGGAGATTGTTATTACGTCTTAGCCAAGGTGGACAGCAAGGTGACCGAGTTACTGCTCTGAACAACTAAATGGCACAAAAAACTAAATCATCTGCTGTAAAGTAATAACTAATAACAAGAATATGTTGTTTCGCTTTATGTTGTAGAACGACACAAGTCCAAAGTTTACCATCCTGGTCCAGCTGGTGCCTTGTGTAAACAAAGAGTTTGATACTTGTCTTAAAACCCTGAAAATCCTGCTGAACAATGACAGAAACAATGTGAGTTTAACTCTGTGGGCTCAGAAGACTATAGTCATTCATTWGTTCACACTGATATCTGCAACACTCAGCTGATTCAATCTGTTCTCATRCAGGTATTAARGTTCACTTCAGATGGAAAAGTGAAGCAGAACACACAGACCATCAGTTTACCATACCAGGCTCTAGGTGGGTCACACCATAATAAACTCTGAATACAACATTTTACTGTCTAATTTTATTTATGATGTYATTTAACACATTAATCATCTTCTGTTCCTTTATTCATAGGTGACATCAACATCTTCCATGCTTCTTCCTTTCACATTTTGCTCCAGACCAGTTTTGGGTTGCAGATTCAGATCCAGCATGTGCCCATCATGCAAGTCTATGTCAGTCTGGATCCAAGCTACAGAGGAAATACACGAGGTAAGTTTAACATTCCTCTTTACATGGCACATTTTCATCATCAAAACATATGAGAATACAATACATTTACAATGGATCATTAGTTATTACACACTATCATCTGATGAGTTGAGAGGATGACAGCAGTAATGTTAAATTATTAGGTATTTGGAACCTAATTTATSCTTTAAAGTTGCAAAGTGAATGAATTTAACTGACAGACTTAACTGAAAAAATGCCCAAAGCTAAAGTAGAATCAGTCTGTGAAAGCTCAGTCTTACACATGTGATAAAAAACACTCTTGTAGGAGTCTAAATGTGGTTTATTTGTAGCATACAATAATTAAATCTGTTCATATTATTCAACATAATAATATGATGATGATATTTCACATTTCAAATTATTTATTGTTTGGCGTCTAGGCTCCGACTTCATGTCMGAGTTGGCTGCTTGTAGTAGCTCACAGGCATTGCTCCATTAATGGTTCTAATCATTCTGTTTTGACTTCTAAAATATTTTGTGTCTTCAGGTTTATGTGGGAACTACAACATGGTCCTGTCTGACGATATGAAGACACCTCAGGGGATCGTGGAAGGAACAGCCGTCACTTTCAGTAACTCCTGGAAGGCCAACCTCATGTGTCAAGACAGAACGGAAAGACTTGACGACCCCTGTTCCCTCAGTGTAGAGAATGGTAAACAGTAGTCTTTGTCACATGTGTGTTTTTTTAGATTGATTTGSAGCCTCCATCAAATGTTTTTTTGTCTGCGTATAAGTTATATTTCAGGCAACAAGAGAATTTTACACAGTTGTAGAAAATAAAAGTTAAAAGGTTGCTGTTTCTTCATTCTCAGAGCTGTACGCCAAACACTGGTGTGCCTTGCTGCTGAAACCAAACAGCACCTTTGCACAGTGTCGCTCAGCGGTGGATCCTGAGATGTACTACAAGGTACAGGACAAATCTTTCTATCASTTTTAATTAAATGASATTACACTTTGATGTGACTGTAYTCCTTTTAAAAAATATTTCTCTTGTGCAGCGATGCACTTATGCAAGCTGTAACTGTGAGAAGAGTGAGGCCTGCTTGTGTGGCGTCTTCTCCTCTTACGCGCGGGCTTGTGCAGCAAAGGGAGTGTTCTTAACAGACTMGAGAGAGAACGTGTGTGGTAAGGATCTCMTTCTTAATGCTGAGGTGATGCATTCTGAATTCACAATATCCCTTTCCCAGTAACCATCCTCATGTTGTGCACAAAACAGACAAATACACAAGGAGCTGTGCGGCGTCTCAGACCTTCTCTTACAAACATCAGAGATGCCAGTTGACCTGCAGATCGCTGGGCTCAAATCAGCCAAGCTGCTCCTCTGACTTCCTGCCCGTGGATGGCTGCTCCTGTTCTGAGGGTCTCTACCTGAATGAAAAAGGCGTCTGCGTCCCCATGGCAAAGTGTCCCTGTTACTATGACGAAGCCTACATCAAGTCAGGGAAGTCCATCAGCATCAAGGACGAACACTGGTGAAAAAATTATTTTCATTTTGTTGACATTTGCCTTTATTATCTTAGGTGTTATTTATTGTTTATAATGTTTGTCCTGACTGAATAGTTTTTAAATACCCATGCATTCCATCTTTTATCTCTGGTGTCTTTTCTAGTGTTTGCACCAACGGGATGCTTCATTGTCGTTCTTGGAGAACCCGCTTATCATGTATGTCTTTTTTTTTTCCTCCTCAACACACATTTGTGTAATAATGTGTTTAATGTGTAGACTGAATCGGTTCTCCCTCTGTCACAGCATGCCCTTTTCCAAAAGAGTTTTTCAACTGCTCCACACCGGGCACAGGAGAGATCGGAGTCCAGTGTGCTCGAACCTGTTTGAATCTYGACAACAATGATTGTGTGAGTTGTTTTTCTGCTGTATTGAATCTGACCTCTCAGTCTCAAATAAAAGATGTAACATTCATTTAAAGTACTTTACTTTGGATATGTAACACAGCGCTAGTGTCTATGGTCGTTTCCTGACAGTCGTGATGTTTCTTCCTTCCCAGGACTTCACAGACTGTGAATCTGGTTGCCGGTGTCCCAGTGGCCTCATTGACGATGGCAAAGGTTCCTGTGTGAGAGAAAACGAATGTCCATGTCAGCATGACGGGCATCTGTATGCCCCAGGAGCACAAATCCCTAACAAGTGTAACATGTGGTATGACCTTGTTTTTACTAGACATATWAACACATTTTGTGTTATTTGTCTTTTTAATTCACTTGATTGCCCTGTTTTGTATTTAACTATCTCTTATACATCTAGTACCTGCAAGAGCGGAAAGTGGGAGTGCACAGACAAAAAATGTCCAGGAACTTGTATTATCTATGGGAGTGGTCACCACTCTACATTTGATCAGCGGACATTTGCCTTTCAAGGACATTGTGCCTACATTGCTGTCACGGTAAATAAAGAATGTGAACATCATCAGAATGACATAATGTGATGGAAATCCCTGCCTTATTCACTCATTCACTTCTTTCTTTCCAGCGGGATCTCAGTACTTTAATACAAAATTACTACTAATAAGGTTATAACTATATTTATAGAGCACTTTTCGACACAAAGTACAAAGTGTTGCACAACAAGAAAACAAATGGTTGACATTCAAAGTACTGCACAATAGAAAACTATTGGTTAATACACAGCAGAAGGTAAATAAATAATAATGATAGAGATAAAAGAACAATAGTAATCTGGCATCCTAAGTAAATTCAGGAATATGCCCTCTGAAATTTTTTTTTGCTGAGAGTTAAAGAAAACAGCGTCTCAGACAACCTTAGGCGATTCATTCGAGACAGTGATGGCAAAACTCTACTCAGAAGAGGCTGTTAAGACCTCACACATTTTTTTTGTCATTCACTTGTAAATTTCTACATCATACTAGAGATATCCAGATCAAAAGTACATGTAATGAACTATAAATATAAATAGCAAGTGATTTTGGACACAGCCAAGATGCTTAACTTATTCTATAATGTAGGCTCTTGTCCCAGAAATTCATTGATATGGCTTTMATACAATTTTCATGTCATTGATAAACTTTAACATCAGTTTTAAAAGTCAATATATGATGCTTAAAAAGATTTATAATATGTTTACCACCATTGATTTTAAGATATCTGCATGTCACAATAAGGAATYTCAATGAAAACTGCAGATAACTACAGTATACAGCACAGTACACTCTCCTGGGGATCAAATTTACTTTTATCCTATTTACCTTTCCGTGGTTCTTTAACAATTTAAATGTATTCTAGAAAAGTATAAAKTYACAGTGTGATTTGTTCAATGGTGTCTCTGTATGAAGCAAAAAATATGTCATGCATCTTTCTTTTTTAAGAGTAAATGCGGGAATAAAACAGCAGCAGACAACTTTAGAGTTACCACAGAAAATGTACCATGTGGATCTACAGGCACCACCTGCACCAAAACTGTCAGGATCCAACTTGGGGTAAGATCCCAAAACAGCACCATGTTTTCTGGCCTTGACATTTCATATTTAAAACATTTGTCAAATCAAATTGCAGTTTTTTGCGTGACAGTGAAAGCAACATAAATCTCTTTAACCCTACAGCGAATGGAAATCAAGCTATCAAAGGGTAAAAATGAAACGAACGAACTGGGCAATGGCCCTTATATTCCGTTCAAAATAAGAAAGGTCGGCTTGTACCTGGTGGTTGAATCTGCCATTGGTGTYGCAGTGATGTGGGATCGCAAAACAACTGTTCGCATCCTCCTGGAAACACAGCACAGCGTGAGTCCCAGTAGTTGTTGTCGTGATGATGACTGAAATCTCTCATGGTAACAGATAAGAGCTGGAGTTTTCATATAGTGTACACTTTTTCTTCATCTGTAGTGAAGCTAAGTTTATAGATCAACACCACTATGGGAAAATGATGATATTGCTATACACTACCAATGCTCTAAAGGTAGTTGAGGTATTATACTATAAAAATATATTTAAGCCCAGAAAAGGTTTGCTCCTTGTTAATGCTCAATATGAAGAACATTCATTTGTAATATCGTCYCCATGTAAAAGAAATCACTGACTCCTGTTGTTTGTGCAGGGAAACGTATGTGGCCTGTGCGGAAATTTTGACGGTGATGTCCAGAACGACTTCACYACCCAGGGTCAGCTGGAGGTCAGCAGTCCCACYGAATTRGCAAACAGCTGGAAAGTGTCCAGCAGCTGCCCTGATGCGGAAGCAAATGTTGACGCTTGCACAGCGACGCCCAATCGACATCACTGGGCAAAAGCGATGTGTAGCATTATAACCGGGCCAACATTCAAAGGCTGCCACAATAAGGTGATAAGAGTTGTTTCGAATTCATCATCACATAAAGTTCTGTCGTTGGAAATATTAAATGCATCAATTTTCAATTACTGAGCAGGTAGACCCCCTTCCATTTTATGAAAACTGCGTGAAAGACTCGTGTGCCTGTGACACTGGAGGAGATTGTGAGTGTTTCTGCACAGCAGTCGCAGCTTATGCRCAAGCTTGTAATGAGGCTGATGTCTGTGTTGCATGGAGAACTCCAGACATCTGTCGTAAGTAAACAACAATTTTACCCTTAAGTTATTAAACTGATGTTTTCAGCCTTTWCTGGCCCATRGATCTCTTTTTAATTCCAAAGTTCTTAAGCCCCGGCTTRTAGACATTTAGAGATTTGTCATTTAGTTAAAACTAAACAGGTTCAGGTTTGAGTTCTTGTTAACCTCATGATACTTAATGTAGTAACACATCCTTTACTCCAAATWCATGATGTAGCTTGCATCTTTTCTTCCTAGCTGTCTTTTGTGATTATTACAACAGCCCAGATGACTGCAAGTGGCATTACAACCCTTGTCACAKGCCTTGTTACAAGACCTGTCTGAATCCACAAGGAATTTGTAGTAACCCTATACCAAATCTGGAAGGTAAGCTGTTTTCTCACAGTGAACATACCTCTGATTAACATGGCTTACTTAATGTGACAAAATAACAATACAGCTTCAATTCATGGCTTCAATCTTCATTATAAGAGCAACTTAAATACAAAGATTTTCCATTTATAATATTATGATATTTTATTTTGTGATTTTTACAGGCTGTTACCCTGTATGCCCAGAAGATAAGCCCATATATGATGAGCACAACCAGATTTGTGTGCAGGAATGTGATGGTTGCTTTTACAATGGGACCAGATATGAAGAAAATGATGTTATTTACAATGTGACTGATAATGTGGGAATGTGCTACTATGCAATTTGCATCAATGCAACAGTGATATTTGGAAATGAAACCTGCGTCACTTCAACTGTCCCACCGTCAACTTCATCAACAACAATTTTCACCACTTCACCTACAACAACTCCAGGGCCAACTACTACCACAAAGTCTACAACCCCAACAACCGAACCACCTACAACAACTCCAGGGCCAACTACTACCACAAAGTCCATGACCCCAACAACCAAACC